ATCCTTATTTATCGCTTTCTGATTTATTTGTAAACGATTTTCATGCCCATCGCCCATGGATGTGGCCGTGCTCCAAAATGAGGATGAGGATGGGATGAGGATGGGATGAGGATGGGATGAGGATGGGATGAGGATGGTGGATGGTGGATGAGGATGGGCAGCAGGACCTACGGTTGGACTTTGGCTGGCATCTGATGGGCTGGCCAAGTTGTTTGCTCAGCAGAATCTCAGTTGGTTCTTGCCAATTTTTTACTGATTTCAACGCCTTGTTTTATGGCCAGCAAAGGGCTCTTCATGTTCGCCCCTCGAACTTTTATTACTTCTCGTGTGCGTTTCTTATCTCTTTGGAAATTGTTGCTGCTTACTTAATTTTGACATATTTATTTTTATTATGTGCTGTATTCTGGCGGTGGGAGTGGACCTCTCCTTTCCCCAATCCTTGGCAACCCACACTAGTGATTAAGTGGGATTGTGGGGGTCGAGTTGGGGTCAGTTTGAATGTTTGCTTTGCAGACTAGGAAAGTTGTTTTCCTTATTGGAAAAGTCATTTATCTGTAGTAGATTGGAACAGGTGCATTTTAAATGGCTCAAAGAATTTATTGAAAAACTTACTAAGGTTGATTTTGTTAGTTAAAAACAATATAACAAATATAAATGCTACCATTAGTTAGCAATAAATATGATTTTACCAAAAACGTTGTGCATTTAATTTAAGTCAGAAATGAAAAAACAAACATCGTTTTGAAATTACTTCTTAATTAGCTCATAAATTCCTTGAAAATTTCCTGCCATTAAAGTCCCTCAAGTTTACTCTGCTGCTCCATAAACCAGTGTCACTCAATTGGCCAATTTCTTGACACTTTCGATTCGCTGGACACCACAACACAAGTCCAATTTCCCAGTTATGCCCGAAGAATGCAGAAGACTGAAAAATAACCAAAGACAGAGAAATGGTCGACGCCTTCTGTTAACAACCGAAACGAAAGAGCCGAACATGGCTTATTAAAACGCAAAACGGCTTTTTACGATGGCAATAAATTGGTGCCGGGTATGGAACTGATTCCGAACCTGAAGCGCTTTTGGGGAGAGAAATCGGGAAGATCGGAGCTCGGGACACCGGGGGTATGCAAAGGTGAAGCCAAAGAGGAGCTGCTGCCAGGCATCCGAAGAGGCCAGCGTTTATGGCTTAAATTAATAAAATAAGCTTTGTCAGACAATTTACAACGCGTCTTCAGCGAGCAGATTACGAGCACGCGGACACGATCCAACTGCCTGCGAAAAGCAAAAGAGCATCATCATCAGCAGTAGTGGCCTAAGAAGCAAACAACAACAACGCAGCGGCCAGAGCAACTAAAATCAGCGGGAACACTAACAAGAAAGGAAGGCAGACCTTTATAACCGGAGTATAAAATACTCTTTCAGATTTATTTAAAAATATATGTATATTGCGTGGTAAATAAAATTCTAACCTAGAAAGAAAAAACATGAAAAAAATCAATACTAAGCACGTTATTTAAATAAAAATGTTTATTGAGGAAAGTAAGTATAACTATGTTTATTAAAATTCTTATGTGAAATACTTGTTTGTAAAAAAATGATTATTTAAGGAAAGAAATAGAGCAACTTTATAGCAACCGATCACACAACGTTATATTGACCATCTTCTGTTGGCAATAAAAAACACCTTTCGAAGGGTATTAAAACCAACAAGAGAAGCCCCAAAGGCGACATTGAATGTTGCCTGACTGTCTGCCTGGACTTTGGTTACTTAGCCAGATCGGAGGATATAGGATGCAAGGGGAGGATGCGAGGGAGGGAAATGGAAATGGAAATGGAGGGGGTGTCTGGAGAGTTGCGGTGTTTGTTCGTTAATTAGCGAACATATTTCGTATAATCGGTGTCATATTAGTTATAAATTGGATAAAAGCGCAAAACGACAACTTAATTAATTTTAAATTCCAATTTATAAACAAGAAATGCAAAAGTTGTTGCCGTTGCACGCTGATGGTGTTGCTGTTGTTGACGATGGTGCGGCATTGATAACGATTATGGACCCAGTCGTGTTTGCTAATCATGTCCGGGGCATAGAACTAAGCCGAACCTCCTCCCCTCTCCCCCTTCGGCTGACCATCTTGTTTTTTCCTTTGCATTCCTGCCACAGCTTCATTTAAATTTCTCTCCTCCTGTGCTTTGGCCTTCCCTTTTGGCCAGTTCCGAGAATCGGCGGACCGGCTCGTCGTCGTTGGGCCCACAACATTCGATTAGGTCGCCGGGCGGCGGAGGCCGTGTCCGCCGTTGATATATGGCCAACGATCATCAGCGATCATCATTTTGTTTTGAGCAGATTGCATTTCGCTCGCTGGGAACGAGGAGCCGACGAGGCGAGGATGCCGCGAAATTACCTTATAACTTAATTCATTAATAAATTTATGAATTGATCGCTGTAAATTGCTGTCCAAATTTATGGGCCTCAGCTCTCTGTCATTGGAATGGTTTATTTAACCAGTCCGTGGCTTAGATGCATTTCAATTGCACGGAAAGAAATTTACTCATAAATTTTACATAAAAGTACTCTATAAATTTAATAACAAAGATTAACCTATAAAAAGTATAAAATAACATTAAAAAAATTGGTTTTACTATCATACTTTCTGAGTCTTATTTTTTATGGTGCATGACATCTTATTATAGACCATTTGTATCGACCAATTCAAATGGCTATTCAAAGGCCCTGTAATTAATGTGGCATTTCGACTTAAAGACGATTTGCCTAATTTATGTTGATAAATTTCAATTATTAAGCCATCATTATCTCGCTCTAGGGCCTTCGCCTGTGGGCAGATTGAACAAAGAATGCTCCCTGAATGAATTTGAGCACTATTAATTCATTTCGTCCATGAATGAATTCGAGTTTCACTTCCTCCTTGGGGCCTATGACTGAATCAACGCTCTAAGGGACAAAAAGACAAAATAACACTGTGTACAGACACTTTGCCAATCGCTGAGCGCTTTTAAAATATTTTCTGAACCGTTGGGGATATCAATCAATATTTGTGTTTTTTGTGACCAGAGAAAGATCATAAAAAGGAGAGCCAAAATACTGAGCAACAATGTCACCTTTGACAAGGGTTCGAATGAATGAAATGAGCTTTGTCGTTTCAGTTCGATCATTGATTAATGCGATGATTTTGGGGGATTATTATTCCAAAAATATGTAAGCCAATGGATCAATTCAGTGGGGTTATTCTGGGAGCTTTTGAGGGAACAAATGTTGGTAAATTACAAGCTAAACTTGTATTGAAAACAATTATACAAATGGTAAAAGAATAATTCCTTTTTAAAGATATTTTATATATATATATGTTTTATTGTTTAATTCAATACTTTATAAAAAGTTTCCTCATCTTTAGACTGGCTTACCCCGTTCCTCTTGCCGTCAACGGTTTTTGATAAAGTGAAGACTCGAAGCGCTGACAGCTCGGGATTCTCAGCATCCAGCTTGCCGCATTAATTTTGCTAATCCTGTCCGAGACGATGATGATGGGGCTGACGATGATGATGAGAGGCCAGGAGAGCAGGGGACGTGGGATGTGGATAAAGACCGGGACAGGTCAGCAGCAACAGAATCAGTGGCCATGCCGACTGATTTTATATGGTTATAATTCTTGCTTTTGACAGCAACAAGCCTCGTTTGTCGTTCGCCAGAGTGTTGAAGCTGACCATTTCGATTCCCATTCCCAATCCCATTCGCAATCCCGATCCGCATCCCATTCCCAAGGAATGTCAAATTAACACACAATGCGCCAGCTAATACATTAAACAATATGGGGGAAAAGGAGATATCGCTGGCCGTCGAAGTTGCGCTTTCCCAGAAGTTATAGACACACACTGAAATTTTGCCGGGGCCGAGTCGTAAATTATATCAATCTTGTAAGTAGCTGCCAACATTTAGGAACAATTCTGTTAATCACTTAATTTATGCAAGTGCTACAAATCGCAACCTTGTTGCACCAGCGAGGGTCTTATCCATTTTGGGAAAATTAACCGAACCAAACCGCAACGGATCCCTTGCGAACGGAGGGTTAATAAACGATCATTTAATAAGCGTTTTAATGCCAAATTTACGATCGTTTTATTTGCATAAATTACCAAAGTTGCCAACTGTATGCACATTAATTTCCCGGCCAAATTGCCAATAAAATGTTATTTATGTTGCTAAGCGAAAAATACAACAGGCAGTCGTACGGAATTCCTTCAACGCGCCTGCAAGATCGGCACAAAGGGAATATAACGACGATGACTATATAGAGGCCGATCCCGCGTATATGGACAATCAGCTGGAGTCAAGGTAGTAAAGTTTATGAGCTTTCGGTTGGCATCTTGTTGGCTTACCTCATTTCCCTGCTACGTTTGAAATTCGCCCTAATAGAGTCATAAAATTCGGCATTCGACAGTCGCAAATTGATGGGATTCCGTTAGGTAACACACGATTGAACATAATAAAACCTCACGTTCTCACGTTCTGTATTGCTTCGATATACACTATCTTTGAGTTTAAAACGTGTTGGGTTAAGCTTAAGAATTTTACTATATAAGCACTCGGGATTCAGTTAATATTCATTGTGTTAAAACAACTTGCAAGATGTTGGGAACTTCAAAGAAAGGATTGATCGTCATGATCATTGCTGTAAGCTTCATTTAATTATATTTCTAAAATCACTATCCCAATAAAAATAATTCTTTTTCTATTTATAGATGTTGCACTTGGCGCAATCTGAAGATTCTGTTTTGAGTCCCTTGACATCTTCCTTAACTGGCACAGGAGGACTAAGCAGTGGAGTTACTTGTTTGAACACCGCCCTCGTGTCAAATTTATCTACCGCACTTTCAAAGCTTTCTCCTGAAGATCTAAGTTCACTGGCAACTCTCAGTCCTGGATTAGCTAATGCACTGGCTCTTTTGAAGCCAGTTTTGCAAGTGCTTCAACTTTAAAAGCTGAATTGTACACCTTTTGGTATATACTTGTATTTTGCAAAATGAATCAATAAATTTGCACGTGTACAATTAAAATTTAGTGTAAATCATTGTGAGTTCTACCATGGAATTCCGGTATCCAGGTTACCATCTTTTCAGTCATGTCAAAGGCCTCCAGCGCCTTGCAAAAGTCCTCGTATTGAATATAATTCATGTCGGACTGATCCATTTCCCTCATCATGGTGTCCACAACTCTCATTATCTGCACATGATCCAAGAGATGTGAGAACAGCTTGTGCACAACGATAACCAAATCATATCTTGTGATCCGACCATCTTTATTGTGATCATACATATTAAAGAGCACTGAAGGTGAAGTGTTTGTTAAATCTTGAATGATTATTAAATCTTTTCAATAAAAAATAGTAAATCTTGAAATCTTACAGTCTAACTTTCTTTTCTTAGTTGCGTTCTTAAGCTCTTTACTGTCTTTAAGCGAGTGCGCCTGAAAGGTGCTCAAGAATAGTGCAAAATCATAGAAGCTGATTGTAATTTTGTCCCCAAACATGGAGTTTAAAATGGTGGGCAGTAGGGGATTTAAATGCAGCAGTCCCGAGTAGAAATTATACTTGTACAGCTGTCCCGGAGAATCTTTGCCTCCTCCTGAAAACTGCGTGAACCTAATATACAGATATTTTATCTGGCTGCGACTCACTGGGTGTTAGAAAATCCATATTATAGTATAAAATGTTTAGAACTCGTTCACCACTCACGTGTAGTTTCTTTCTTGAGGGTTTGCATTACATCATGTGGCACTGATGGAAAGGAGGCGGACTTCCTCAAACACAAACATCCCATTGCTAACTTACTCCCAATAAACCAGATTTCCCAAAAATCTTAGAACTTGAAAATTTCTTCTGACAGCATTTACTAAGAAAGATCAAGATGAAACACTTGCTACTTAAATTTCCCTTTCCCAATTTTCTCGTTTTTGATAAACGCCGTTCAAGATCAGTTAAGATTAGGTTTAGGTTTCCTTTTATGAGGTTCTTGTCTTTTACGATTGCGTACACCCATAAAAAGTAGATCTCCAAAGACAAGAAGCTGCGATAAGTGACATTTTGTGCGCAAGAAGTCGAGCACTCATACAGCATATTACTTCATTAAAAACCGAAATTAAACTGAACTCAGAACCTCGTTCTGATTCCAACTCGGTTTGTATAGTAGCCGCCTTTAATGAGGCCCGTTTTGGGGTTTTTTTCTGTTCCAGAAGGCTGAACCGGCTCTTAAAAAGGGCGTAAAATAGTTTATGAAATGTGTGTCTTTACCTTTTACTGTTTAGCAAATGAAAGGTATTTGGTTAGAATAGAGGGAATTTAAAAAGCTGTTAGTATATAAACCTGAGAACCAAATGAATCTACCATCTGCAAACTTTTTAAAATTATTTGTATAAATATATCTAAATATATATATGTATATATAAATATATATCTATATATCTAAATATATCTTTTGCTAATTTTTTAAAGGGAAATATGCAATACAGTTTTTTAGAGCATTTAAATTCCCAAGCAATCCTAAAGAAACATTTTGCTTGCGGGATCTAAAACCAAATTAGGCTGGTCAAAATGGAATATCGTTACCTTTTTGGCAAACTTAGAACTTGAACGCTGTGTGGTCCGCGTGCCGAGGGTCACGTCCCAGATGGTCGCATATCTGGCGACCAATTTGCGGCAGAAATGTGTGCCACATGACAAGCAATTAAGCTCGGACTGCGACAAAGTACGTGTCCAAGTTGGAGGTTTAGTGAACCCGGTCGCGAAAGCGATAAATTTATGACAAATTTTCGAACGAAATGCTCTGGTCAGACTGCGTGTGGTTCAGATATCGTGGTGGTTGTGGTGGTTGTGGTAGTGGTGCTTGCGGTGGTTCTTCTCCGCCGGACATTTCGACGTGGCGGCACTTAACACCACACATCATTTTAATTATTTATTTGGCCATAAAACAGTCGAAGTCGAGGGAGGGGCTGGTTTCGGGGGCGAGTGGCCAACTTTCGGCACAGTTTTCGTTAGCTGGCGGTTCGAAATCGTTAAATTTAACAAATTGCCAGCGATTTTTATCGCGCTCCAAGCCCACAACCCAGCCAACTCAGCCAAGTCAGCCAACTCGGCCAACCCAAACGGACCAGACTCTTTCCTGTCCTGTTCGGCCCTGCCCATAGATTGTTTTCCTTATGCTCACTTGGGGCTTTCCGAACTGGCAAATTTATTTACGACCAACGGCCAAGAGAGAGATACAGTATTTTCAGTTTCAGTTTTCGGTTTCGGCCATAACGCATAATTGGCCAACGAGTTATGAGCGAGGGAGATGACTCAGGTACTCGAAACTTTTCCCTAATTAAGTTGAATGAAATTCGTCCAAAGGTACGGAATCCCATGTCGTAAAATTTTGGATGTTATTCTTATCACTTCTAGCATCGCATAAAAACCATTTCTATCTTGTTCCCGACAAACGGTACTAAACATTGCGACCGATTAGATTTTTTACTATCTCCCGCAGAATGGAATCGTTTGTAGGCTCGAGTTCGTTGCCTAAGTCTTTCGTTCGGATGAAGTTCGTTGCCTAAGTCGTTTGCTTTAAAGAGTTTATTGCCTAAGAATTTTGTTTTGGTTGAACTACGTACTGGACGTACTTACTCATTAAACTAATCTTAAGCAAACTAATTAGTGAACAAAAATGGAATCGAGTCGCATAAAACAACTTAATTATTATTGCACAAATATATATTCGGAACTCGAAAAAGCCAACTAATTGGCCGGCAACAACAGTTCACACCGTGAGGCCAGTCGAGCAGCAACAAGAACAACAGCCACTGCAAACATGTTAACTGAAAATAACCTGTAATTATAATAATTATCTGTAAATTATATGGCGCACTTACAATTGCACACGGATTCATGCTCTTGTCATAAAAATCTCAAGTGGAGTTTTGAGTTTACTTTGCCTTTTAATCATGCTCGAATTTCATTCGAGCGGCCGCACTTTGCAGCTAGCGGTTGCAATAGTTTATGGCTTAAAGCTACTGCTAGATTATCAGGCTAAGGACACTGCAAGAAACTTGGTGAGGATTTATAATAATATAATATATTGGTTAACTTTATCTAGTCAATAACAAAAAACATATTTATAAACATTACCGCATATATTTTACTCTTATCCCATTCATTTGCTGAAGGATTTAAGTCCTAAGATTTTCTCCAAGTGTATTTTAGTCCACAATTTCCGTGACTATTGCAGTTTTATACCGGCAGACTTCAGAAACGTGATCATAGCCTCCATTTAGACGAAAATTAAATCAAATTTCATTGGCATGTGTGAAACTGTCGCGTACTCGCATAATTTGTGGCTGTTTTGTGTGTGTGTGTGTGGATGTGTGTGTATTTTTTTCTGCTCCATCCGGTTAAGTGTTTCTTGTTGTTGCTGCAGTGTAATCAGTTGGTGTGTACCGGCTGCGACCGCTTGATTCTTCGTAATTGAAACGAGTTTGCCACAAGTGAACATGTTTGTTTTTATTTTTTTGGGGTAATTCAGCATACAACACTGTCAGATGTTTCGCAGTTGAGTGTCGGTTATAAAGTAATTAGCCTCAATTTAATGTTTATACTTTGTTGATTATGATTATGTTAATTATACGACTTTATGTGACGGTGAAAACAGGGAAACATTCCGGTTGCCCTGTCATCATCGTCATTATGATCATTACGATTGTCGCGGCTGACATTGATGAACTCGAAAGTGTGACAAGCCGGCGGATTGCTTAACGTCTGGTTAATATGGAAACTTTTCAGTTTGGAGAGCACAAAGCTCCTGGTGGGTGCTCACTTCAGAAAAGCTGGCTGCCTCAGCAGCATCAGCTCGGGCTAATAGCGTTCTATTAAAAACCACTTTTATTAATTAAGCACAACAACTTAATTCCCATGTAAAGCGCTGCATCAGCATCACATCATGGGCAGCTGCTCACACTAATTGCGTTGAGGCATCTGCATCTGGGATCCCGATTCCAAGCCCGAACTCGAGCCCAACCTGAAACCCCAACCCGATCCAATTCCCGATCCCCACGGACACCTGAACACTTTGAAACGAAAAAACACGATAAATGGGTTTAATAATGGCGGCAATTAAATGGATACACGTTGCTACACTCCACACATATTGGAGATGGAGCCCGGGATCTCGGGCAGCATCTCAATTACCGCTGCTCTGCATGGCGCTTCACGGTTGAGAAATTCGACGCCACTTTCAAAAACGCATCACTCAAATGCTCATCTGCCTCTCATCCAACTGATCCAACTGGCTGCATTCTGCGGCTCTTTTGGCCGAGGCGTTGATTCTCCCTTCTTTTCGGTTCGGTTCAAGTCGGCCAACTCGTCAGCAATTTATTAAAACCCATCAATACTCATCAAAGGCAAAAACAAAGCAAACAAGAGGGACTTCAAACAGCGATTCGATTCTTCAAAAAGAAAAACAACCGAAAAACAAAAAATAAAGAAATGAGGGAGGCAGAATGCCTGCGGTTAATTTGGCGCAACCACATAAATTGAAATAGATTTGTTTAACTTTTGATTATATATGGATATAAGGAGTCAGCTGGTTGGGATATCTTTTTTTAGAGTTCAAATATTAATGTTGTAACTATTGTTATACCCTTGCAGAGCAAAGAAGATATAAAAAAAAAAACTTCGGAATAAGTCGAGTCTCAATTTACGAATTTGAGTCTAGCGCTTCTTCTTCTCTTTTAATGCTATTGCTGTATGGAACTAAATCATTATATTTGACGGGCATTTATCAGCATTCACATTAAAATTGTTTTTAATTGTTTCTGTCCAGATTTTCCTAGAAATTTCACTATATACGCTTCCGGACTATTTATTATTCAATAGATAACACAACACTGATTCACTGGAAATCCCATGGCGAGAGATTGCTTTGACTTGTATTTCAGAGAGATAAGCCCAGATAATGCAGGCCTTGCACTCGGCAAATCCATCCTCCATCTTCATCTTCAGTATAAAAAGCTCTGAATCAGTCTTAAATCATCTTTCGTTAGGCATAGTTCGCCATGAGTTCTCTCCGACTTCGCGTGCTTCAAGTACTCCTTCCCCTGATCCTTGTGGAACTTGGAATGGCTTTAGTGGACAGTGATGAAGAGTGGGCCCAGTACAAGGCCAAATACAACAAGCACTACACCTTCAACGACAACTACCACCGTGGGATATACAGAGAGAGCGTCCAGGCAGTTGCCAAATACAACAGGCTCTTTGCGGAGGGAAAAGTTGGTTTCAAATTGGGATTGAACGAGCGCTCGGACGTAGATGAAAGTGTTTTCTTCCGATCGGGCACTAAAAGGCCTCTGGACTCGGGCACTAATTCCGTGACTAAAACGCCGAGCTACAAGTACTACGATGAGATAAACGAGGGAATCGACTGGCGACAGTACGGCTACATATCGCCAGTGGAAAACCAGACCTTGGGGTGCCAGAGCTGCTGGGCCTTCTCCTCCTCGGGATGCATGGAGGCGCATCTGGCGATGAAGAATGGCAAGCTGGAGCCCCTGTCCCCCAAACACTTGATAGACTGTGTTCCCTCTCCGGTCGCCGGATGCAATGGGGGCTGGGCAACTTTAGCCTTCAGATACGCGAAGAACCATAGCATCGCCTCCAAGAAGTCATATCCCTACGAGCCCCAAGTAGGCACTTGTGCCTGGGAGAATCCTAATGGAATCCTGGAAGGCCACGTCACTCTGAAAAACAACGATGAGAGGGAAATGGCCGAGGTGGTCTACAACATCGGTCCTGTGACTGCTTCCATTGATTATTTGGACCCGATATTCAAAAATTACAAAGGTGGCGTCGTGAACATTCCCAACTGCCGGAAAGACAGGAAATATCTCAATCACTCTATGCTAGTGGTGGGTTTCGGAACGCATCCCATTTCGGGTGATTACTGGCTGATCAAGAACTCCTATGGAACCGAGTGGGGCGAAAACGGCTACATGAGACTGGCCCGAAACGAAAACAATACGTGTGGAATCGCCTCATATATCCAGTACCCAATCCTTTCGAAAAATAATCTATAAATTATTGACAGGGATTTTATTTTTATTTTTAAAGATCAATTCAGAAAAAGAACGTCATCAGTCAACATTTAAGACTAATATATTAGGCCTTACAAAATGAAATGTTATATGAAGCCTAAACAATTAAAAGAATTATTTTAAAAGATTCATAAATAAATGTTTTTAAAGAAATATTGCACTCTCTTGCAGATGAAATTTTGGATATATTTAATTCGTTTAATTATATCAACAAGGTCAAAAAACTCCCAATAAACTACTATCGAATTTCGAATTAAATTTTATCAAAATCGGACAACTTCACAATATCGCTGCCATTGGAAAGAAATCTATAAAGAAATCTATATCAATATGATTTTTGGAATATAGAGCTTTTGAATTTCGAATTAAATTTCATAAAATTGGTCAACTTTATCATATAGCTGTCATATATCAAATATATATAAGAAATTAACATAATAAAATAACAACGGCATATGTGGTGACTGCAAGGGTCTATAAGCTTTCTAGCTTTCTTGTTTTTATTACAATCATATTACAAGTTCCCTGTTTTTATACATCCCCAATTCAAGAAACTTAATTTCATCTCAGTTTGTGATGGCAGCTTTTTCACCTTCTGCGTCCGTGATTTGTCTGCATTTTCAGGTCATTTGTTTGTAGACACCGGCACTTGAGCCTGTCTACCTGTTCGTCCCACTGCCCGTCGATCCATTGTCCAGCTGGAAATGTGTATGAACAAAATGTTTTGCATATGTCAGAGGCACCGGGGCGCTCGTAGCCATCAATCCCGAGGGCATCAATTTGGGAAATGCATCACAGTTGGCAGCTCGAACAGCTTGATTAGTTGTACAGCCGCAGCATCCCGGCATCTCGAGTGCATGTCGGCTCATTAGGCTTCTCCACTGATGAGCAACTGGAAATTGGAGATCGGTGATCGGTGATCGGGGGGCGGAGGGGCGGGGCGAGCTGTGAAATCGGTTATCGAATCCGCGTCTCATGTCTGGTGTCTACATCGAAATTAGATTTTAATAATTGGCTCACATTTATTTGCTGCCTTAATTTGATTGTGCCGTCAAATGTTTTTATGCAGTCGAACCATCAATTAATCACTGCTCATTGCTCGTTCTTGTGGTTGTCGGGGGCGTGTTAGCCTTAATGAAGCTGCCTAATGCGCAGAGCGATGATGAAAGATGAGCTGGCTTGTCTGAGAACCGGGCCAGCAGGAGGATTCTAAGGTTGATTGAATAAATTGAAATCGGTTTGGTAAAAATAAACAAAAAGTTGAAAGAAGAAATAAATTAACTTATTCTTTTTATAAGATATTATTACTTAAAGTATTTTTAAACTTATCCTTTTTTGCAAAAAAAGGAAATAAATTAATTATAAAACCTGTGGAATTTTTTAGTTGCTCCAAAATTACTTGGTGTCGAATCGCGAGCCTTTCCAATTCGATTAAAATGCGTTTGCCCAGCACGCGCAAAAGCAAAAAATAAAAAAAATAAAACAAAATGCGAGGGAAGGCAAGGTAGAAAACTTCATTAACAAGTTGGCAAGACTTTGGCAGACCTTTTGTCGCCAGCCAGAGGTAAGAAATTGAAATTGAAAATGTTCGCGGTTCCCGGAGGCTCGAACTCCAGCCGGGTCGCAATCTGTGTCGCCGGATCAGCGGCAAAGTGTTTGGATATTTGTTTAATGAAAAGCGAAACGATATCCCTGGACCCCTGGATGCCGATTCCCGAGACTCTCGAACCCTTCGGTTCGGCTGGCGGATCCTCTATCGTGCGGCAAATATCAAGTCATTGGCTTTAGTCACACTTAACCCATGGCCAACTTAATAAAAGCCAACAAGGCAAAGTCCCTTATCCGGCATTTGCTGGGCAATTAATTAAGTTGAGCATTTTTAAATGTGTGTGCTGGCTGACTTTTTGGCCTGTTACCATTTTAATGCCCCGACAACGGTGGAAATCAGAGGAAGACTCCGAACAAGTTCTTTAACATGTCTAATTAGTTGTTGTGTTGGTCGCCCGTTGTTGTTTTTGCTGCTGCTGCGTGCGATAAAAAAAATGCATGGCACTCATTTAGTGTTTTCTTAAGCTGAGACATAAATTTGCAAGCAGTTAAAAGGCTTTGCCTGATGGCAACGGCGAATCCAGAATTGTTCAAATCGCCGGCCGCAGATAAACTCATTTGCAAAATGCTGCTCCAGACATGTGCAGTTCGTGTCGAGTGTGAACCCAATCTGGAGATGTAGCCTTGAGTTGGTAAACAAAATAAAAGAAGGCTTTAGGTCCATAGGGTATAAAGTAACTTGAATGGTTTTTTTTAAGAATACCATTTTATTATGAATGCAGAAGTCCATAACTTTGTCAATTTTAATGTGATTTTAAAGTGGCATTCCTCTAAACGATTCTAATCGAATCCTTGATACAACTGCATTTAAGATTTTTCATTTTCCGATGAATATCTGAAAAATTTACGTTTACATTTTTTAAATTGGCTAGTAAGATTTTTCTGAGTTTTGAATATAACGCACGTTTCTTTAGAATTTCATTACAACTTTAAGAGGCACGCCGCTTTGAATTAAGATATCTTATTGGCAAAGCTATAAGCTCTGGCGTAATATTTAATTTACATATGTTAATTATCGTATATTTCCATTCTTAATGAATTCATTTTCGATCGGGTGGCTGCCCCTCGAAGCCCTATAATCACATTATACAAAACGAGCCTAATTCGGAGCAAATACTGATGCCTTTCCTTCCATTGAGCAGCTGCTGTCTTCTGGCTGGCGAATAAATCCATTTGATTAGCTCTCGGCTAGAAGTTTGTGTCCGTCTGTGTCAGTGCCTGTGCTAATTCGAATTTAATTGTTGGCCGGTCCGCAGTCCCAAGTCCCAAAGTCATTGGCGGGCATTAACACATGCTGGCCGGGGCGCCCAGGTCCCGGAGCAATGTGTTTGGTTTAAAAATTGTATGGCAGCAGTGGCCACGACTTGGCTGCTACCCCGCAGTCCCCCCCTCTGCCCCAAAAAACTGACTCCTTTCTGGGACTTCGTGCCTCGTCTTTTGGCTCTATGTCATTTTAATGGCCGGCGCTGCTGTTGCTGTTTTGCTTTTGCTTTTGCTGCTGCTGCTGCAAATGACCAATGGCGTTTTCAACTGGTTGCTGCTGCAGCTGTACTGTGTGCAGCACACCCCCTCCCCCTTCCAGCTCCCCTCTTCTCCCACCTCCACGAGCGATCGCCACCCCTCACCAAACGGAACTGCGTGCGAAATTGCAGCAGCGATGCGAATCGCCGACACTGATCGAAAATTGTGTATACTTGAAAGCTTCAGATTAAAATAATAAATGTGTTTATAATGAGTGCCAAGATAAAACTTCTTATAAAGAGTTTCATTATTAAAAAATAATTTTAGAAACATTTATTTAAAAAAGAATTTTTGGGTATCTTAAAAAATGTAAGTAATTATTATTTCAGTCCAAAAAAGTCTGTTTGAAGGATTTCTCTCCGTGTGGCAGCCAACTTGAGTTGTGGCAGCCGAGACGTCTCAGCTCTTGCCTCCCGGTAGCAGGCAACGCTGACAGGCCGCCGGCTGACGTGCCAACCACTGTCCACTGACCATCGACTCCGTCCATTGGCCATCGGCCGTCGCAGTGCCACTTGCTGGATTCCGCTCTCCGATGCCGCACTGCCCGCTCCTCCACAGCTTTTGGGCCTCCATTCGGGCCAGACTTCTGACGGCGAGGCCAACATGGCAGGCAGCTCGTTTTCGGGGTAATTAATCATGCCGCATAAATTAATGTAACCAGAAGTTAATTAACTTAAGTTTATTTGCACGGCTTTTGCTTAGAGGCACACTCATCATTTGCACAGCAAAGCAATTTCGCACAGCCCCATATTTTTTAGTGGGGTTAAGAACTAGGACTTGAAAGCGATTAGTTGCTATTTGCATAGTTCTAAATTGCTATGTGTTCAGTAAGTTTTCAGAAAAGATAAGTAATTTCAAGTCTAATCTTGTGCAATAAAACTGTTCATCTTATATAAGTAAGTAATAACGTAAATATTATTCTGAATTAATATTTAAAGAGCTTACCAACCCTTTTACTTGTTCACCTAAAGAAAATCCATAAAAAAAACACCTCATAGCTTACTAATAAAATCGTTGCAGGTGTTTTGTAACACCCCATAATCCCCACTTCTTTGGCAATTTGCCAGATTTCCCCTAATGAGCGGCTGCACAGAAATGTGTTAATTAACTGGCTCAATGTGGCAGCTGTGGTTGTTTTGATTTGGGCTCAGTGTTCGCCGTTCACAGTGCAACCTCGATACTGTGGATGGGGGACAGGTGTCAGCGATCCTAGGCTCTTGCCCCCTTCTTCTCTCTTTGTAATTCCCCTGCAAGTCCCCCGGAACTATGAGAATTGCATTGCGGCCCCATAATTTAGCCAATTGTCAGCGGCGAAACTTGGCTAACTTCGGTTGCTGGGCCGCACCCATTAATTATTTTAAAGTAGTTGGCCGACGCGATGTTGCCTTTTCAGGCAGCAGATTTATCGGTTGTGCCACAGAAACTTTTAGCATACAACAAACAGCGATTCGTAACCCGACCCCCTTGAAGGGGACTTCAAAAAGGTTTTAATAGCAAATGTCGGCAATTTGTCGGCGGCGACAAAGCGAAATGGCTTTTAAATTGAGCTTCACTCATGTTCGGGGGCGTGTCGAGCGCCCACATGCACTTTATTGATTTTGTTACAAGGGGCGGGATTAGATTGGGCCAAAGGTTAATTAGTTAATTGCCTGGTCAGGTGAACTTTGAAAGTATTAGGGCGGGGGAAAAGCGGAAAGTTAGTTGGTGGGTGGAGTTGGTGGTGGAAATTGATGGCTAGAATCGCTTGAAGATGCACCTTAAGTTGATATCAAAGGTAAATAATATTTCTCATCAATAGTCTTTTGACAACTAAGCGATAGCACCTGACAAGATCACTTTAATTGTTCCATGTGTCTTTTTGGGGTAGAAAATTAAGACTAAAACGTTCGTTAAATTCGTGCGCTAAAACTGATCTTTTTTCTGGGGGCTTGTTATATATGTTAAGCTATCACCTACCACCAGGTAATCAAACTTATGAGTCATACCCTCAGCAACTCATCAGAACTCATCATCATTAAGGGCCAACCGATCTAAAATCTCAGCCTTAATTCGCTTCAAATTTATAACCTGAAAGTTGCTCCAATTGCCACACCCTTCAATAATAAAAGAGATTTGGAATGAAAACGGCTAAGATTCATGGATGACACACCCTCCAAAGCCCCTTCCAAAAATTAGGGGCCTCCCAGAAAGTAGAACGAAAACAGTTCCCAAAAGCGCTTCCTAATACAAATCACTCGTCATTTATCTTGGGCCATTAATTTTTTTTGTTAAATATAACTAAGGCAGATTCTATAAAAAAATTACGAAACAAAAGAAGAAAACAAGAGAAATAAAGCTTGCGTGCACTTTGTGGGCGTGGCAACGGAGTGCGCCAAATGGGCGCTCATTAATTTCCACAAAATGAGAGAAGTTTCAAATAAACACGGAATGCATTAAATTGAATTCGTTGCCGCTTTTTCGTGCCTAATTAATGTTAATTCTCATCAGGGCAGCCACATAAATTTTCCACTCCGAGAAATCCACAATTATACGAAATTAACAAATCATTTGTGTGGCAATCTGTCAAAGATTTTCCACGACCGTAATTTATACTTCCTATATTTGCAGGAAAACTTTTACAATGGCTCGGTCTTCTATAGTGATTGTTAGTAAGTGCCGTGCAGTTCCCACTCTTACCTAATTGGCAATTTATTAAAGTGTTTAATTAACGGCATCAATTAAAGGCAATTTATAAAATGTTATGGTGAATGGTGGGTACTTTTCTTTTTTGGCTTGAATGACTTTGGTGTTAGGGTTATGAAATAAAAAATATAATAAGCTATTGGTCGTAGAAAATATTTAAAAAGAAGTTAGTGTAAACAGTAATTCACTCGTTTGACTGCCACAAGGCATCCATTATTTATTAATGCTTATTTAAAATTATTAGTTGACTTATTCGTCGACTCGATCATTAAATAGCAATTACGTAATGGCAAAAAGCTGGCAGTTCGGAGCATCATCAGCGTGATGGTGTGCATTTCCAATTAAAAATGCATTAAAAAACGTTGCTTGTGGCCTGCGAAGAATTGCAAACGGAATCGAAATCGAAATCGAAATGGAAATGGAAACGGACAGCACCCATGCTCACCTGCCAAAGGAGATTCCTATTCCCAGGCGAGAGATCCTCCGATGCCATGCCTTAGTTCCAGTCGATCAGAGTGTTATTTATGGCGGCGAGAAAATTAACTTTTCCTGCTGGCTGACATGGAAACCAATTTGCCAATTGACGCCTCAACCTCTGGCGGGCATCTGGCTTGGGATTCGGGATTCCCCTTGGCCCAGACTTTCAGCCATTCTGGCCCAGTCTTTCAATTAAATTTATGTTCGAGCAGGAGGCGCCAGCCAAGACTGACTGAACAATCGCTGATTTACGACCTGGAAACGAAGGCGAATAGAAAACACTTTGCAATTATTAAACGTAGCATTTTTATGGCTGTTCCCGGTATTGCAGTTGTTGCTTTTACTCTTGCTGTTGTTTTTGTTTTCGCATCGACCGCCCACGATGTGCGCCAAATGAGGTTTAAACTGCAATTCCGTTTACATTTGGCAAACTTTTCCCATACAAATTGCCGCTAAATAGCTGAAACCTGACACAACAATAACAATCCGAACGCCTACGCCGTTGCCAGCACGTTCGCTATTTGTTAACCCTTTGGTGGCTGTTGGGAGAAAGCTGACTTACTAATTCTAAGTCTATTACTTATCTCCAAAAATTTGTATTTTAATTCTGCAACAACAACTGCCAATTTTTTTTAATTTTGTATGATACATCCCCTTGCCAAATGGCCAAAGGTTTTGCTGAAGACTCACCAAAATTCACTAATTCTATGTAAGTCCATAACATTTCTGGTATTTAACACATTTTAAAGTTGCATGCTTCTTAAAGAAATTTTGTTTAATTAATTTTATATAAGCGAATAATTTAATTCAACTTCCGGAAAATCAGACGACTATATCATATAGCTGTCATATGAACAATAGGTGAAAATATGGAAAAAATCGACTCGACAAAGCTAGCTTCCTTCCTTGTTTGTATAAAAGTTCATATCTGCTTTGTCTATGGCATCAATGGGTTAATGTTGCCGCGGGGCAGTTGGTGCTGCAATTGCTGCCGTGTTGCAGTTTGCTTCTGCACTGCAGCAAGTGTCAGGCTCTTCAATCGTTGTCGCCCCCACTTCCACTCCCTTCACCTGTCAAATTTGCAGTGCCTGGGGAACTAATGACGCCCTTAATATGCTCCAAGTGCCTTGGCTGAAAGCCATTTCCCTTTCGCTTTGTTTTCAAAGTCATCGCCATCGTCTTTGTCTTCGTCATCGCGGCTGGCAGACACGCCAAAATCAAACGAAAGGGCTTGCCAACGAAAAACCCAAGAAAACCCTTGGCAAAGTCGATTTTTCAATGCACCAAAAACCAAAAAGGTAGAAAGAAAAACGAAATCATATTTATTTTTTATTAAAAAAAATAAGAAATTTTTAATTAAACAAATTGAAAGACAAAAGTCTTAGTTTAGACCTCTACAAATTTGGAAAAAAAAGATACATAAAATTACTAAATTGTTCCATTAAAAGATCGCTGAATTTAGAAACATCTGTTTTATATTTCTTTCCATAAGAACTGTTGACCGACATGACCAAGAACATGTGTCGATATTCAACTATCTAACGGCATAAATATTTGCGAAAATGTTTAGCTTTCAAAGGGGTAAACAAGAGGTGAAAAGGTGGCTGCGAACCCTTCTCCAAATGACACCCTCCATTGCCGTGAAATAACAACCCGAATCCCGAGCAGCCGAGACACCTGCAATTCGCCGTAGACAACTTCATTTTGTGGGTCGGGCCGAGAGACTCATAAATTCGCGGCCCACAGAGGAAACGCAGACCAAACCGATATATATAATTGCATATGTGGGCATGGGCCCATTCCAAGTGCAATTAAGTAATTCTCACATCGTTTATGCAAAATAGGAGAATTTTCCAGGCGTTCTGCTGGAACCTTTCGGGTTCTGGGGTCTCTGGGTTCTGAGTTCCTGGGCTCTTGGGTTCCGAGGCTCTGCTGATTGCTCGCGTGCAACCTCAACACCCTTTGCTTGTAGTCAAGTGGCCCATAAATTGTTGGCCAAGTTTTCACGGTGCCCGCCCACTTTTCGTTGCGCTGCTTTGACAACGGCAATTACCTTGAACTTTTCGCCGGATCGACGAGGTCTAACCTGCCGTATCACAAAAACAAAAAAATGCCGAGAATTTATTTATATTGTATTTTTTTGGGTTCGCAATTGCCAACGGGCTCATATATTTTGGGCCACTTTTTGATCTCCTCCCGTTTTGTCAGTTTAATTTTTGGTTTAGCTCGCGTTTCGCTTTAAATGAACCCAAATTGGAGGCCCATTAGCTTTTGGCTGCTCCATATGCATACTATATGTTAGCCTCGAGCAACTTCAGTATAGTAAATCTGCTTTATTGCCAATCGTTTGCATTTTGAATATCAATTTCTGCCATCAACTTCGGCCTCTTGTTACTGACATTTATTTTTTGGCCGCTTTATGAGACCATAACTCGTAATTGTTGATTGCACTTTTTACTGTCGACGTTTAGCACACAACAATTTTCGGAGGGTTTGGGGGTTTCCATCAACAACTCAATAAAGGAAAAGCCTTGTTAGCAGCATTTTTTTTTTTTGCCCTTTGATTGGTTATATTTTGGCAGCTCTGATCGATAGTTGTTGTGCATTCGTAATGAGTTTATCATGCGATGGCAGAAAGCTTGCCAATAAATGGCCATCACATGTGGACTTGCAAGCCCCTTTAAATGGCTTTATTTGCTTGATTAATCTTTGAGTTGAATTATTTATTCACTTTGATGTTTATTTTTTAGGTAGTAAACAATTTAAATTAAGCTATACAGTTGACAAATAATTTACAAGAAATTAAAGGAACACAAAATAGCGGAGCTAGCTGGTTAGCAACTAATAGTTAGTTACTGCTTTTCCCGCTCTCTTTCCCTCTCACGGGACTTTTCCCGCTCCCTCTCTCTTTCGCGCAGATATAGTTGCTGCTGCTGGATGAAGTGTTGCTGCTGCTGCTGGTGTTGCTGCTGCAGGTGTTGCTGGTGCTGCTGCAGCAGCTGGTGTTGCTGCTGCGGACTGAGGCTGGCTGCATCTCCAGGGTTGAGTTGCTGCTGCTGGAGGAACTGCTGCTGGTGCTGGGCCAACTGCTGCTGGAACTGCTCCCGCAGTCGCTGGTGCTCCTCCGCGTCCATTTCGCTGCCGTAGTCGTCCATGTCGATCACCTCGTCCTCGTCGTCCTCCTCGATCTCGTCGTCGTCCTCCGGATCCTCGGCGTCCTCGTAGCTGTGCTGGGATCCATCGTGCTTGGCATCCTCGTCCCCATCGCCACCTCCTCCGCCTCCCGAGGAGCTGCCCTTATTGCTCTTGGTGTCGCTGCCGTCGCCGCCCTCCTGCTGCATCCGCTTGTGCTTCGTGCGGCGGTTCTGGAACCACACTTTTACCTATCAATACAAAAAATTACCATTATTAATATAAATTAAACTTCAATTATTTTAATTCAATTTAATTTAAAAAGAGGTAGTATTAGATAGTCTTATATTAATATTTATAATATTTTTTAGATATTCATATATAATATCTAACGATTTTTGGTTTATTTAGGAATGTATTTAATTCAATGATATCCTCAGGATCATAACATTGGTATTATAAAGTTTATGGATAATTAAAACCTTTATAATCTTACAATTGACAATCAAGGATACCATTTTACTGAATACCTTGTGTGCATTCCTTGAATACTAACCCCTATTAAAGCTAAAATATTTTAGTGCACTCTCAGGAAACAATTGAACTCGAGGTAGTCTTTTTGGGGGAGGGTCCTTAACCCTTGCAATTGGCTCTGTTTTCCGCCTTTTTTTTTGGCAAGTTGTAAATAAATTGAACGAGTCTTTTAATTCTATTTACGGCCTGCCTCCCAGCTATGCCCCCGGGGGTGGAAAGTCAAGTGGCGGAGCCCGTTTAAAGCGCTAATAACTCAGTAACTCCGGCACTTCTTGGGCTAACGACCAGACGACATGCAATCACTTAGCCCCCAGAAAAAGGGTTGAACTGGGGTGCTTATTGAATTTGATGCGCATTAGGAGCTCACCTGGGTCTCGGTCAAACTGAGTCCCTGGGCCAACTGCTTCCGCTCCGCCCCCACCACGTAGTGGTTCCCCTCGAAGGCGTGCTCCAACTTGAGCAGCTGCGTCGGCGAGAAGGCGGTGCGAACGCGCTTCGGTTTGCGGAAAGGCTGGAACAGAAAATCTGGAAGAGATCGGAAAAGTAGTCCAATCGTTATTCGCTGTTCATTGAGTTGGTAATGCAGTAACTATATATTTAAAAATTATTAAATACCTGTTTCCAACTTAATTACTAAATCATTCTGTAAGCCTATTATATTCAGTATTTGCCAATTAAAGCTTAGGGGTTAGGTAGAAAATAAATTTTAATGGCACTTGAAATTTATTGAATGTTAATTATAAATAATAATGTAGCAATAAATATATCTTAACAATAATTATTTAAAACCATCTTGCAGCTTTTTTAAATGCTCAATTAAATATTAGCCCGTTACTGTTAAGAAACTTAAATTTTTTTTGGCTGTCAGTAGTTGCAGATCTTTGCTGTATGGATATTTATGTACCGATTTAAGCCAGAAGAGGTCCTCATTCTTCGCCCTGCCAATTAGATGACGTTGCGCCTCAAATTGTTGATTATGAATTCCGCGAATGCCGCTGGCAAAGATGCCGCACACTGACCGCTCACATGTTGCACACGCTCATTACAAAACAATAAACAAATTTCCAGACATGGGCCAGCAAACACAAAGGCTTCTGGTTCGTGCCGCTGTCGGCGCTGTGTGTTTGGGCCATGTCCCAGAATCGCTGATAAGGCCAAAACAATTGGCCGGGCCAACGAGAGCTGGCTTTCTTTCGCCTGGACGCCAAGGCGAACACTTTAGCGCTCCTAAAAGCCGCCAACGACGCCTCTTTCGAAAAGCGAGGACCCATTGTTCTTCCTTTCAGCCGGCACAACGTGATATTTTGACGTTTATCACGATTTCTGGGAGCCCAGCCCCCCATCCCCACCAGCGGAGCCAAGTGTTCTGAAGCTCTTCGGGTGGCTACGAGTTAACAAATTTCAATTGAGCCACAATTTGAATATTGATATGGGGCAGGGGCTACTGTGCGAGATGAAGCTCAGATTTCTGACGGTGCAGAGGAATTTGCTTGGCGAAAAATTATGGAGTATGGTGGGCCTAGGGCTTCTAGTTTTTTTTCGAAATTATATAGTAAAAATACTTCAAAGAACAAAGTGGGTTATATATTTTAAGGATATTTCAGAGATCTTAATAAAAACTTATTTGTTGATTACATTTTTGTCCCGAGGAAAATAAGACTTTCCTTTCAAAACAATCTAGCTCTTCCTGTAAAACTGTCATCTTGAAATTCAAGCTCATGTTCAGCTGTAAGTCTGATCCTCTAAAGCAACAATTCTTTATACGACTTGTTATGATATAATTTGGTGAACAAGACTGAGCCGCAGGATCCTTTGGCACCGGCAAGGTGTGCCAATTACAAAATCAATATTGACATAGCAGAATCGAATCGATTTCGGAGGCAGGAAGTCCACACAGCGCAACAAAACAGAAGCTAAGCCACAGGCAAAATAAACAGCTAATAGACAAAAGCGGTCGAAAGGGCGCAAAGCCATTAGATACAAGATGCAACCCCAGAAATGTATCTTGTTAGCGCTGTCGGGCTAGAAAAACAATAAAGGGCCAACGGGAAGAGGGAAGGGAGTTCAGAAAAGGGAAGAGGAACGGGAACGGGAATGGGAACTTGTCAATTCGACACTTCATAAATGCAGCCTCGCACCATTGATGGCCATGTATCTACGTATCTGACAGATGCAACTGACTGACTGCGTGCCTGGTTTTTGCTATGAACTTGACAAACGATTGCCGAGAGAGAGACGCAGCATCCCGAGTGCTCTAGTTCGTTTTTTTACAGTCCGCGATCGCTTGACATTTGTTACATTTGACAGCTAACAATGTAGCTACAAGATACACGACTGCCCAGCGCCTTAGAAGAAGCTGTATAATTGATAATGCCGCCGCTCACAATGGCCACTTAATTATTTTTTCTCTGCCTTTTTTTCTAGCTCTCCAGTAGCAGCAGCTCTCAATGAAGTGCGTGCGTTTATTTTCCTCGTTTTTTTTCTGTAGGTTCGGAAGCACAAAGGAAACCGCCGTGCGAAAATACGCGCAATTGACAATTAATTGATGTGTCCGCTCTGCTGGCCATGTTGTTGTATTTGCAGTGGCTCACACCCTTGTCAGCTGTCATTTTTTTTAGCTATATCCGTACCTTGTTGTTTTTAGCCCATGATGGAAGTGCCGGGATTCGTTTCGTTTTCGTTTGTTCGACTGTCCTGGCCTTTTTGTTCGCCTTATTATTTATCACTCGTGTGCAATTGTGTTTGCTTTCTTTTTTATGGAGTTAGGGCTTAATTTTTATGCTCTCATGATTTTTTCATTAATTTATTGCATTCCATGAGGACATTGACTGGGCATCGATAATTGAAATCAAATGAAATGACGTTCGGGGATGTTGTGATGATCGATTTGACGGGAATTGCCATATGCAGTTGGGATATAAAAAAAGGGATTATGTGGGCTTGCGAAGATAATAATTTTGAATGGAAGTACAAACGATTTTTTTTTAAACAAGGTGTGAAAATATAAATTCGTGGCAACAAAGTATTTTTATATTTTTTTAAAGATCTAAGAAATAAACTCACGTATAACTCATTAAAGCAACGACTAGAACAGCTTGTACATAATTCTAGGCTCTGTAAAATAAAAGGGATCGCAACCTTGTTAACATTACCCTTTTCCTGGAACTTCATCAGCTGCATTAGAGAGCCACACCCAGAAATTGCAGCACGTGCAACCTGAATTGAGTTACTGACTCATCATCATCGCTATCGCGGTGATCCCCATTATCTTGTAAGCCAACCTCCTTCAAAAAAACACCGATGTAACCTGGTATTACTCACACGAGTTACGAAACAAACAAAGACGAAAAACATTTACAATTAATGAAATCGTTATGCGAAACATTGACATTTTACGTTCATAAATCAAGCGAAAATTACAGTCGGAGCAGAGAAAAGTGAGAAAAAGTAAGGCAAGCCGAGCGGGAAATGGGAAAAGGGAGAAAATAATGAAACGGCGTACAACATAATTAAGGCGTAACGGGGATATATGTACAATCCGGCAGGTGAAAGGCGTGTGAGTGTGCCGAAAATTATTTTTATATTTACCCAGCCAAAAAAAAAAACAACACGAAAAAAACAACATGGCCTGAATATTCAAATGGTAATTATGAGAGCAGCCAATGAAAAAAAGTGGTTAAAGAGTAATAAATGACAATGTTTTTGAGATGCGCTTTGCGGTGGCTCTTCGCTTCTATCCTCAGTTTTTTTTCGTTCTTCGGTTCTTTGCTCGGTTGCCCCAAAACCTCAATTAAAAACGCATTAACATTTCACTGGTTGCACTTTTCGTACGTTACACATACGCCGCATGGGCCCGCCATGTGAGCAACTGGCGCCGTCTGTTGGCCATTAATGGTAATTTCTACTCCACACACACACACAGACACATTGATATATCACACACACTCACACACTTGGCTGGCCATTTAGGTACGCTGCTTGACCTAACGATGTGTGTAATGTTGTTTAAACAATTTAATTAAAATGTAATTTGTTTGGAAATAGTTATCAAAATGGGTTTGGTTCCCCTTTCTCCCCGTCTCTCTTTTTGTCTGTCTCTCTCTCTTTTCCTCGCCTTTTGTCCCTCTCCCTCTGATGATGATGAGGCTGATACACGTCTAATTAACTTGTAATAAATGTTTGCCATTTGCTTATTTAACTTTAATTATATGGAGCTGCGCGGCAACAACAGCGATAACTGAATAATTGCTTGATTGAGGTTCTCTCTACTATAATGACCGAGTGGTTCAAATATGACTTTTAGGTGTGGTTTCTTTCTCTCTTTGGTTCACGGCAATCAAAGACTATTTGAAACGACCATAATGACTAGAAAACATCGCTTTAGCGAATTATATTTAAAAAGTTAGGCGGTATATGAAGGAAAAAAAATCATTAAAAATCTCAACGAACGATTAAATAATATTCAATATTATATACATCAACCAACATTTACAACTATGTATTGACTAAACTTTTAATAAATACTTTTCAATTGACCAACTGAATTTTAATGTAAACAGTAGTAGCTATAATAAATTTAATAAATTGATTTAAAAACGCAGATAAATCAATTTAGTCTAATTGTTAAAGTGGCCTATTTTGCATAAATATTCTATATTTCAAAAATTAATTAATTATATTTATTGATATAACTTCTAGAACCGGATCCCAGTTCGCAAACCGGTAAAATATAATAAGAGAGACACGAAAGTCAAATGGGGTTGTATATTGAATATACAACAATGGGTATAACATTTTATAGTTATTTTTTTAGGATTTATCAATGGCACTGTGGGCTTTCTGTTCTGTATACTTAAACTAAATTATTGGTTTTGGATAGTTGGTTTACTTACTGCCGGGAAAGCGTGGAAATATGCGTCCATGTCGACTGAGCAGCCAAGGATACAGTGGATAGCTATCGCGGATCAGGTGCGGAGAACTTCCAAATGGGTGATGTCCGTGGGGCGGCGGATGACCCACGGGATGCGGTCCGCCCGGGAAGATCCCCATTGGAATTTGGCCGGGCGGCAGATGCGGATGCGGACCATGTGGCGGTCCAGTTGGCACGGGCGGAAGTTGCTGTTGTTGCTGCTGCTGCTGCTGGTGATGATGCGCCAAGGCGGCAGCCATTTGGAACTGGGCGGCAAGGAATGGGGGCGGTGGTGGCGGCGGGTGTGGCGGACCCGCCATTCGTACCGCCATCGAGTTCGGTGAGGTGCGGTTCTGGATTAAAGCTAGATTTGGCGCCGGCAAAGGCATCGGACGGATGAGGGTTGGTGGATGGCCCATTCCCGGGGGTAAATCACTGGACTTCTGAGGATTCCCCACCGCTGGAGGATTGGCTCCTGCATTTGGAGGCGTTGGCGAGCGGCTGACTGGCGACCTTTGTGGACTTCTCGATCGGTCCAGTGAATCCCGTCTCCGGCAGTAGATATATCCTCGTGGCGACCTCCTTCCGCTGTTGTTTGTGTTCGTCGGCGAAGCGGGACTTTCGCTGCGCGGCGGCGGCGAGGATATCACACTGACCCTCAAAGGAGCCGCCGATCTCGTCGAGGATTCGCCCACAATCGAGTCGATGCTGAACGCCAACTTGGGCTTACTGCCCGCCGAGGTGGAAACCGTGCTGGCGGAAACGGACGTCGAGGATGCGGCCACCGAGGTGCTGCTGCTGCTGACAAAAGGACTCGTCGGCGCCATGGGCAGCATGTTGAACGTTTGCCGGCCGCAGGTGACCATTTGGTTGGGGTTTAGTCGATTAAAACAACAAATAAAACACTGGCCAACCACTTAAACTTGAAGTCAAAGTCTCTGCAAGTCGAAGGAGACAATGAATACCTCTATTATCAAATCGAAAATCCCTGTTTCCGTTTTTTAACTGATTAAAGCGAATCGTAGTTTATTATTTACTGATTTTATAAGTCCGGTTTTTTTAGCTTCAAGGTTTGAAGAAGTTGTTCTTTTGAATGCCAAATTCAAATCAATTTCGTTTTAAAATCAACTTTTATTTGAAATTCTAAACTTGTAAAATTCGTACATTAAGATTGCAACTTCTCTATTCCTTGAAGCACAGAAAAATTTGATCAGAAACGGAAACGGAAAAAGGGGTGTATTGATGGAGGCTCTCAATAAATCGAACTTTTTCAATGGCAGGGGTTATAGAAACACGATCGCGCCTACTCGTGGTTACTAGATGATAGATAAGCACACACGCACTGTTTTTCTTTTCGGATCATATAGCTAGCGTTGTATCTGCGATGCTCCAGCGGTTGGCATCCGTCGGCGTGACATTGATAAACTGGAGCGGCGGCAACGCGGCGATTGGAGCGTGACCGTACCGCTTCGATGGACGATTGACGGCGGCGATTGACGGTGGCGGTACATGTAACGGTACCCGGTAACGAAACTTTTGCGGTGGCCGCGCTGCGATGATGATGAGCACTGTCAACGCCATTAGCATTATGGAGCGTCTAAAGGCGTCTAATTGTTGGCTCCACTCCGCCGCTCTCGCCCTCTCGCTTTCTCACTCGCCCGCTGTTCTCCCTTTCTCACTCTCTTTTTGGCGGGGGCGTCGGCGAATCGCTGCGTGGCTCTCACGCTGAGCGTTTTGGCTCGAGTGTCGCGATTGAAAGCCGCAAAAAGTTTGTGGGGCCAACGCTGCTTCTTCTTCTGCTTCTACTTCCAGTGGAGAAGCGTATTGGACATCTCGTTCGCACGCGCTTGTCACTGCGCCTGCGCCAAAGCAGTGCGGATATATTCCACTTAACATTCGAAAACCAGCTTTGCTCCAAGTGGAGCCACCTCCTCTCTCGCTCGCTCTTCTGCTCTCTGAATGTATTTAGGTGTGTTTGTGAGGGGGCCAAGCGCTCTTTCTCTCTTTCTCCGTTGCTCTCTTGGCCATTTTTCGCACCAGTTTATGACAGCGAAACAAACAATTTGCGCTAAACAAAACAGCATCATTAAAGCGTTTGTGGTTTTAGTGCCAAGCGGGTTGGCCAGTTTTGTGGGGCTGAGGGGGAAGGTCCCAGGAACAGTGGGTAAATCGCAGTATTTATACAGTGTGAATGTTTTTTTTTATTTAACGTATTGTTTTTTTTACTTATTAATACGTATGGTTTATTTGGTTACCTTTGGAAAATACGCTAGTTGACTTAAGTCAATTTATAAATTTATAAGATTCTTTTTAGCATTTTATGATAGCAAAATTGCGAAAAATTAAAAAAAAACATTTTATTATTGATTTTGTGCTATATTTGTTTTCATCATTCCACTGTGTACCGGCATCAACGTCATCGCTTATATAGCTTAGACGCCCCGTCGTCAGATTTGGCCATAACCCCCTTCCCCCCTGGCCCTCTGGCTCCTCTTTTTGCTACCCCCTCCACCCCTGGGCTTTCCACCATTCTGAATTGGCTCGAATTGGCATCTGCATCATGTTGGTCGAAAGCATTTGGACATGAAAATGGGCGGTAACTTGGTTTCTACACCTTCGGCGGGATGCAACTGCCGGCGCACACTCGTAGCGAGTATCTCACAGATACGTGGTGTCCCTGTGTATCTGCATCTGTATCTGGTCATCCTCATTCTCGTTCTCATCCGCCGGCTGTGAGTTGTGAAAATAAACACCTCGTTAAAGATGCAGGAGGAGGCATAAAACATGCAGCGCCAACGTCGCAGCCTTCTCATAGGTAAATACATACGATTCCAGCCACCCACCCCCTCTGCTCCTTTTGGCCATGAATGGATGATGTTGGCCGAAAGGAGCCGAGAGGTTGGCAAATAAATTGACGTGCGCTTGGCTGGATTTGTATGCATCTAGATAAGGCCGGTTGTCGATGGGGCAGCAGTTTTGCTGCCGCAGATGCACTCGGGCATCTGTATCTGTATCTGTGTATCTGTGAGTGTGGCACCTCTGGGTGCGGTAATTGTAATTGGTTTTTGCTCTTTTTTTCCTTTTCTGCTCACGTTTCGGGATAAATCATTTAATTAGTCAGACAATGAGCTTGGGAGAGAACTTTATGGGATGCTCCATCACTGCAAAAGGTTATCGATCGCCAATCAATGATTTTCGGGGCGTATTTCTTGGCATTTACCGCACTTGATATATGACCAGAAGGTGGGCCGAAAAAAGATAAAATGCAGCAAATGCCTGGTTTATCAGCTCACAGAACGCGATCTTTGGAACCAATGGGAAAATATTTTAAGGAGTAAGTGTGTAAAATAACTGTATAATTAATTTTATTTTCTTTGTTTCCAAATGTCGTACTTAATTTGAAGAAAATTGTTAATTAACACTTTAACATATTTGAATATTTATTCTAAAACTTTCTGCTTAAAAAATTGTCTTTATACTATAGGATTAACATTTAATTTCTCTTTAATGACCAGATAATTTTTAAAAACAAAACAGATGAAAGAACATCATTGTTGGGCTTGTTGACTCTCGTTCTCTTTGTGAATTAATCACCCTTCAGTAACTAATATTATATTCCAGGAAGAAGAGTCTTTTGCATTTAAGCAAACTAATTAAGGTCCCCTAACATTAGGTTCTTTCAGTGGAAGTACCCTCTTCCATCCATTTCACACTAATGATAGTCTGTCTTGGTCTCTCTGCATTTGGAAAATGCAATCCACATGAGGTTTCCATGTTCCACAGTTGGCGAGCGAGATAAACCGACAGCTGTCGTTGATTGGCTGCCGGCATTATCTGTGAGGGCGCGAGCGAGACAACAGTAGGTGACAGCTGCTAACAAGGGGTTGGACGCTCTTTATGCATTGGAGTGAGCGGGAAGCAGGATTATGAAGGTAGAGTAAGAGTTAGGGAGGGGGTGACACGGCGAATAAATCCAATTCATTTAATAATTGCCAACGAGATGGAGCTCATTATCACGAGTACTTTGCACGGCTTTGCCGGATGACAGCGGGGAGTATTTCGCAGGGGCAGGGTGTCAAAAGGGGGTTCTTCGTGGGCAGACTGTACTGTATCTGGTTGGCTGCGGCATACAGTCTCCTTCGCACAATCCAAATATATCTTTAGTTAAACCAACACCACAGAACTTTTCGCAGAAAGCTTTTTCTTAAAAATACTCTCTCTTCCAATATTCTCGAAAAATAAGTCGACCCAAAAGTTACATAGCAATTTAATTTTTAGTTGAGCAATTGTTGACCAAATTAGGGACCGTTTTTTAAAAAGAAACATTATGATTAAGTTCATTATTTATTTCTCTTTTAATTATTTTAATTTTTTATATCTTCCTATCCCTAAAATTAATTGTGTCGCCTAAGAGTTTTGTGCTAATGCTCCGCAGGCCCCGGAACCCTCCATTTTCCTCTATCTAGCAGAAACACAGATACAGTATCTGAAGTATAGTATCTGTGTGCGCCCTCGTCTCGTTAGCGTTTTTATTAGACGCGCAAATGGAAGCCCACGGATGCTGATGCCTGGGAAGTCTGGAAGCGCGATGATGGCGACGGCTTTTCAGTGTCAATTAAAAAGAGCTTCCCGTCTGCATGGATTCATGATGATATAGGGGAAAGGGGTTTCAATGGGGGTTGGAGATGGATGTTTAGCGAAAGCATAATTGCCACAAGGGTTGGACAGCCTGAAGTTTCAGCCGCCGTCGACCAGCGCTTCGTGTTGACACAGCTAATTGGCTTTATTTGTTTTAATAATTGAGCGTTTTCGGCTGCAGCCGTGGGCACTGATTTAATTAAAAATGTTAACTGAAAATCGAAAGGGTTTCCTTCGCTCAATTGTGACACTTTGTGTTTGTCTGGCCGAAAAGGAAGCTCAAATTGAATTTTAATAACGCGGATTTACTGCGATGAAAAAATTGGAAGGAGAGGAAGCATCACCACTTAAGGTTTATATTGATAGATATTATAGTTAAAAAATTTTATTAGGGAAAGGAAGGTTAAAATATATTATATAAATTAATCTGGACACTTCCGTTTGAGCTAAGCTCTAGACTTAATAAAATGCCAATAAATATTTTGCAACTATTTGGAATGCTTAGTCGCAGATCAGTCCTAGTGGATCAGGAGCGATCAGAAGATCGCCGGCAGAAGATCTCGCAAATCCCCGAACTTAAACCAAGGAAACCCTGTGGAAATCCGCGGGATCTGGCGGTGGAAATGGCTATGCATTTTGGCCCGAGGATAGACGCATTTAATCCAATTATCGATGGCTCGAAACTGCCTTGGGAAAGCGGCTGACTCGTCTAAATTGTGGGCGGGTGGCGTGGCTTAGCCCAGGTAATTCACCCGTTCCCAGAAAGTGCGAAAGGAACAGTTCAATCGGGAGTGAAAGAGAGGGAGAGAGCCTTCCGTTGATTAATTAAAATTTTGATCAGCTCGCAAACGAGGGCCATTATTTAATGAGTTTTTTATGAGATGCCAGGTGTGGCGAGTTGCTTACTTACACAGAGAAAATAAATCACAAGCAATGAAATCTTTAATTTTATTTTGGAACATCAATATACATAAAACTTTTGATATTCTCAGTGTGGGTACTTTCACATAAAACCAATATTTAAAATTTTTTGTAAATCCGATTTAGGAACTGTGCTTTTCCACCGTGTATCCAAATGGGTGTGGCGCTATACGAAATGGTGGGGATATGCCGATCGAGGCGCGACAACTGCCGCAAATTATCGCAAATTTGTGCCGTTCGTGGGATGCAAGCGAAATATTTTATTGCCTCATTATGCAAATGCGAATGGCTCTCGCCGATCGGGAGCCTCATCCTCCTCGTCGATCAGCGGGGGGCGACAGCGGAAGACGGATCAGCGGTGTATGTATATGGCCAGGTAGGACGGGACTCAATTAGACACGCCGGTCGCCGGAAAACCGCATTGAAATTACGCCAGGACCTGCCCGAGTTCGATAATTGCGGTAATGCCGATAATCTGTTTCTGACCGCTCACCTCTCGACCTTCCCGACCCTTTCCGCCCCGTAATCCCCGCGAACCAGCCCCTAATTGTTGGCCGGGCCGAAAGGATTCGTCCTGTTCCTGTCGCGCGCTCTAAGCAGCATCGATAATTGGATTAAATCGCGCTACTCCAAGAAGATCTCGCGCTAGTCCAGCGCTGATCTTTGGATTTCCAGCGTGGCTTTGAGGCGCACAAATTCCGAGTTAAGTTTGTGGATTTGCCGTCCTAAACACGCGCTGATCATGTGTCGCTTTGGTTCCCCGGAAAACAGCGAGGCAGGATTCGGGATTGAGGATCTCCTGATCCCCCCGCGATCTGTTGGTCCTTTTCGCTGGCAATCCAGGACTAGACTAACTTCTCCCTGATCCCAGAACTTGCAAATCCTA